TAAGTCAGGAAATAATACACTACTTCCAAGACAATGACAGGGCGGATACAATTCGCAACACCCTGTGGCAGGCCCATAAATCTGTGATACGTGGACTGCTGATAAGACGAGCATCATATCTAAAATGGAAATCCCAATCACAGATTTTAGATGTGAGTCCATCCTCAGAGTGTGAGTGTCTGAGTCTGAGTCTTCGAGTATTGAGTGCAAGAGTGTTTGAGTCTGAGTCCCTCTCTGCGGTTCTCCGCAAGTTCAGGAATTAAATAAAACCAGCCTAATTACCAGTTATGTTGTAGAAGTTCTCTTTTCTAGACTTGGATATGTATCCCATAAATGGTGAATGCGAGTATCATGAGAGAATTGTGTGAATTTAGAAAAGTTTTCAGAGTTCTGAATTTTGAAGAATTTCAAAGTTAAGTGTTAGTTGGAAAAGATACAAAAAAAAATTAGGTGTGGCCTGCTTTGGTTCCAGATGTCAAATCTTAGATTTTAGATGTGAGTCCATCCTCAGAGTGTGAGTGTCTGAGTCTTTGAGTATTGAGTGTGAGAGTGCTGCTACCTATTTGGATATCTGTATAACCAAACCCTGGCTTAGCACCTGGCAAACAAGGGACATTTACAGCGTGAGTGCAAGAGATTTTTCTTTATATATATATATATATATATATATATATATATCTGGGCTGCTGCAGACATTCCAGTTTTATCTCTGCCAATGTTTACATTTGTCACATCCATTAGCTCAGGCTTGATTGAATGGAGTTACAGAGAAAAAATTGTGTCTGTCTTTGCATTGTAATACAAAATGGAGTCACCTCTGTTCTGATGGTGACTTACAGTATACACTTTTAATTTCTGTCTTAACACAAAAATGTCTGCCAGTATAAATATACTGACAATCTAACCCAGATCCTTTCCTGCAGCCTGGGTCCCAAACAAAACATTAGTTCCCAGGACACACAGCTACCAAGACAAGCTACAGCAATAAGCAGAGGTAGCTCTTTTGTATGGCTTTCCGCACACCCCTCACCACACCTGTCACGGCACTGCCATGTACTCACCCTACCCCTGGGCGCCCGCGACTACTTCGCGGCTGAATCGCGGTACTTGCTGCTCCCAGAGACCCCTCTCCCGGGTCTGCAGCGGCTCCTTCTCCTCCTCTCACCGCCGATGTCCACGGCTTGCACGCCGTCGCAGCAAGATGGCGGCCACCATGCAGACCCGGTGTTCTGCTAGGGAGGAGGAGAGCTGCGGATCTATGAGGGAGGGACAGGTCAGGGACTATGTTATAAAACAAGATGGGGCTGAGTCCCTGACCTCTCTTTATAGCCCCTGGTGGGAGGTGGCCAGTCTTGTGATCCTTGCCACCTATTTAAACCAAGCACACCTTCCAGTCAGCGCTTGATTATTTTGCTTGTCTTTGTATACCTGCCTATTGCCCTGATTTTCAGATTATGTTCCTGATCCTAGATTCCTGGATTGATAATCCTTGCCTGCTGCCAGAACTGACTCCAGATTGATCAGCTTCTTTTGTCTGCTGCCTGACTTCGGATTACTTTCAACATCCCCTGCTCCTGTTCTCTTGGATTCTTCATTTGGCTTCTCCCCATTAAAGGCCTCTGTGCCACCACAGACCCTTCGGGACCCTGTCTCCCCTTCCAGGTGCTTCTGAAGGTCGTGATTGTAAGGGAGTACTGTTCCACTGCAAGTGGGTTCCATCACCTCTGCAAAATCCCCAGGTGGGTGTGACACCCCACCCCACCTTAAGGAACTCACTACATTTATAGATAGCACAAATTACCTGACTTTCCAAACACACTTTATGTCTCTCAAACTCTCATCACCTGCTCAGCTATCACACTCACTACCTGCAACCCCTGATCCCTCTCATCTCTCATGTGACTTTAAGATCCAATCTCTAATTTCGCATAACTAAAAATCCTAATTGTCCTTCTTTATAATATAAACTCTTTTATTTTCCCTAGATAATGCTCTCCCTTATATTCTTTACTTCCACCTCTCTAATTAGCAAAATCTCTTTATCCGTCTGCTCACCTGTCCCTGCTGACACTAGTTTCATTGTTCCCACTTTACTCCTCTCCCCTCTATTCATCCCATGCACTCTACTTTTATCTTTCCAGCCTATGTCTACCAACCTTTTCTAAAACCTCTAAATACAAACCCTCTCACAAAACCTTTAAATCTTACTACCACCTTCTCTTACTTTCTATCATTCTGCTCCTAGCAGCTGGTGATGTATCTTCAAATCCCGGTCCCATCTCCACTAACCCACCATGTGCTAACTCCAGGAATCACAATAATTCATACCCATATCATGTCACTTTTCCTTTAAATCCTCCTTCCATTCTGCCCTCTGGAATGCACGCTCTGTTTGCATTGTTACTAAATCCACTGCTGTGCACGACCTTTTTATCTCTCGTTCCCTAGACTTTCAAGCCTTAAATGAAACATGGCTCTCTCCTTCTGACACCGGTACCTCTCTATCCTTAGGTGGTCTTCAATTTTCCTACTACCCAAGACACTCTGAAAGCAAAGGTGGTGGTGCAGGGTTTCTGCTCTCCCCTCCACTGCTCCTTGAAACCTCTACCCACCCCCCTTCCCTCTCTTTCTCATCATTTGAAATTCATTCAATTTGCCTTTTCAAACCCATCTCTGCTAACATTGCCATTATCTATCGTCCCTCTGGTTTCCCTCTCCTCTTCCTTGACCACTTTGCTGCTTGGCCTCCCTACTTCCTCACCTCTAATATTCCATCTCTAATTCTTGGGGATTTCAACATTCCCATTAACCTGCCCTTGTCCTCAGTAGCCTTAAAACAGCTTTCAATGACCCCCACCCATGTAGCTGGCAATACCCTTATTTTTTATATCAATGTACAATCTCTAATCTCTGCAACACTCCATTTCCTCTCTCAGATCACCACCTCTTATCATTTGCTCTCAATAGCCCCTTACCCCATCATCCTCAACTAAGAAGAAATCTGAATTATATTGACCTCCAGCAGCTATCAGCTAATATTGATTCCCAACTTCTATCCATCCCTACTTTCTCCTGTCCCTCTCTGGCCATCTCCTCGTATAACACTGCCCTCACCTCTGCCCTGGATGCTGCAGCCCCTCTCTAAACATGCACCTTGAGGAGAACACGCCCCCAAACGTGGCACACTAAATCAACAGGCTACCTACAGAGATGCTCCTGTTCTGCTGAATGCTGCTGGAGAAAGTCATGCACCTAGTTTGACTTCCTCCATTACAAATTCATGTTGCGTTCATACAGCACAGCCCTTGCCAAGCAGTCATACTTTACCTCCCTCGTTAGCTCATGCTCCCGATATCCCAGGCGTCTTTTTAATTATTTACCGACAAGATTGAACAGCAAAGGAAAGAATTCTAACTACCTTGCCCATCTATTTCTCAATCCCACCTGGATCATGTCGTTCCAATACTTTAGACTTTCTCCCAGGCTACTGAACAAGAGGTGGCTGCACTTCTATCCTCTCGCCCCACCAGTTGCCCTGTTGATCCTGTCCCATCTCACCTTATCATATCTCTCTTCTCTTGTCTTGTGCTTTCTTTAACACACATCTTAAACTGCTCTCTCTCTTCTGGTGTTGTCCCTGCTGCCCTTAAACATGCTAGTGCATCTTAAAAATGCACTAGCACTCTCTCCTTGACCCCTTCAGTCTGGCTTCTGCCCCTCCACTCTACAGAGTCTGCTCTTATTAAAGTCACTAATGACCTAATCACAGCTAAATCCAAAGGGCACTACTCCATACTAATTCTTCTTGATGACCATGTTCTCCTTCTCCAAACTCT